TAATAATGGTCACATGGTCACATGGTCACATGGTATTATAGTCATATGGTCACATGGTCACATAGTCCAGAATAGTTGAATTGATATGTATTTTGTATTTGTGCTTTCTACAGCTACGATGGACGGGCAAGATGAGAGATCGACAATTGTATACTTTCTGTATGATGGTAGGTGGATATTGAATAAAAACGGAGAATATGAATGTGAAGGAAAGTTCATGGAAAATCAAAGATTGCTGTTCTTTTGCCCCCCTGTGAGGTAACCTACAGTGACCTTGTTCGAGAGTTATGTGCTGAGATGAATGTGGAGAAAGATAAAACGAAGATCAGATTAAGTTATTTGCCAAATGTCAAGGAGAACAGAAAGCCGACATACGTATGGAATGACAAGCACGTTCATATTTATTTGTTGGATAAAATAAATGGATTGCGAGGTATGCTTTATGTGGAGATAGGAGAGTTACGTATGAAAACTGATGCTGAAGAAAACGTTGAAGAAGAGGCTATAATTCCTGCGGATGGTAGTGTTGTTGGAGGAAATGGGAAACGAGGTGTTGTAGACTATGACGATTGTTTTATGTTGAGCCCAAATTTTAAGAGTAAAGTTGGGAGTAATAATGTGCCAGAAGTTATACATCTTTCTGATAGTGAACATTCAAGTGGACTTAGAGAAGTTATGGTGAAAGAGTGCGTTGGTTGTCATGATGATGATGATGATGATGATGATGATGATGATGATGATGATGATGATGATGATGATGATGATGATGATGATGATGATGATGATGATGATGATGATGATGATGATGATGATGATAATGGTGATGATTTGGAGCTTCAGATTGTGGAGGACTCTTTGTTTTCTGATTCTGTGTTCACTTTCAGTGATGGATTAAATATAACAGTTGGTCATGAGTTTGACGATAAGGAAGCAGCGCAAGAATATGTTCGAAAGGGTGCAGCTGTGGCTCGTTTTAGGTATACTACGATGAGGTCTGATAAGAAGTTATGGGAAATAAGATGCAAATTTGTTGGATCTGGCTGTAATTGGAGGTTGCGTACGGCATTGATCTTAAACTCGAAGCGTTGGAGTGTAAGAAAACACAATCCCATTCACAGTTGCAAACCCGTTTCAGAATCAAGCAAAAGTATGAGCGGTACAAAAAAATTGGTTAGAGATTATTTGAAGGATGAATTTCCCGGTAAACTTGATAACACTCCTTCTGCACATGAAATAATAGACCGTGTAAAAACAAAGTATGGCACAACCGTAATATATTTGACGGCGTTACGGGGGAAGCACAAAGCTGAAAGTGAGATTCGAGGTGATCCTGCAGAGCATTTTAGGAAGCTTCCTGGATGGTTGTACATGTTGCAGAAGAGAAATCCTGGGACAATTGTAAGTCTCGAGTTAGACATAGATGGCAGAAGCTTCAAATACCTCTTCATTGCATTGGGTGCAACGGTCAAAAGATGGAATTACATGCGTAAAGTGGTTGCTATTGATGCAACCTTTCTTACAGGCCAGTACAAAGGTACATTAGTTGTTGCAACCGCACAAGATGGTGACCACCACCACCAATATCCATTGGCATGGGGTATTATCGATAGAGAAAAAGATGCATCATGGAGGTGGTTTATGGAAAGATTAATAAATGCAATCCCAGATGGACCTGATGTCGTTGTGATATCTGATCGACATAGAAGCATAATAAAGGCCGTTAGAGAAGTGTACAAAGAAGCTGGCCATGGATTTTGTGCGAGACACATAGCGCAAAATCTGAAAGTTAAGGTTAACAGAGGTATGGGAAGAAAGAGTTCAAGAGGTGAAACTGTCGCAGAAAGGTTTTTCAAATGCGCGGAAGCGTATACGTTGCACGAGTTTGAAGAGAGATTTATTGATCTGAAGAACA